CACAGAGATCCATCTGCCTCTGCCTCCCCAGTGCTGGGATTAATTTGACAGGCAGGCTGGCAGAACAAGTTGATTGTGAGTTCTAACAGCACACAGCATTGTCCTGGCAGTGAGATTTCCCCAATGAAGTTCTCAACAGAATAACACCTGTCCTGGGGTTACCTGTTAAATGTGTATGTTCCTAGGAATCCAGGTATATTAAAACTAAAAATAACTACTTAGATAATCCCAACACTCAGGAGGATCTCTGTGAGTTTGAGGCCAGCCTGGTCTACCGAGTGAATTACAGGTCAGCCAAGGTTACAGAGTGAGACCCTGTCTCAAAAAATAAGAGACAAGCCTTGCGATAAGCCGAGTACTATGCTAAGGCACACCTGTTACTCAGCTTGAGAGCTGAGGCAGGAGGATCATTTGAGGCCAGCCTGGACAAAATCATCTGAGATAGGAAAGTGGTACTACAGGCTATGGAACAATGCATGCCTTGTGTTCCACAGATTCTTAACAGTTTACTTATTAAAATTTTTAGATTTACTTACAGTGTAGGAATGTTTGGTGGCATGTGCACCACACCGGTGCCTGGTGCCCACGGCGATCAGAAAAGAACGTTGGATTCCCTGGAACTGGGGTTACGGATGACTGTGAGCCAGCATTTGGGCGCTGGGAACAAACCCAGATCTCTCCAGCCCCTTCCTCCATTTTTAAAAAAAATGTTATGTGTGATGTGATGTGAAGTGGATGAAGGCATTGTGGGTACCAGGTACACATGTGAGTTAGGGAGATCAAGCTTACGTCACCAGGCTTGCCCGCTCAGCACCTCTGCTGGCCGGGTCACCTCACCAGGCCAGGACAAGCCCAGGTTGAAGAGGTCACATGAAATGCCATGTGAGGGGAGGGTGTGGTCCCTTTCACGTCCCAGGGCAGGAGGGTGTGAGGCGGGAGCTGTCAGCACTGTCAGTGTATAAGGAAAGATGAGAGCTTGTAAAACTCTCATTGGTTCACCCCATACCAATCACCTTCCCCACGCCACCGTGGTGCCTGACGGCAGAGAATTGCAGTGGCTTGCCAGGATGCCCCCAAATAGAGAGGCTGAGTGAGGCCTGCCTGTCCTGGTAGGAGAAAAGAATGTCGACGCCAAGCAGAGACCAATGATCTCCCCATTAACCTTACTCTGTTCTTCCGACTCCAGTCAAAATGGCGGTCCCCATTAGGCAATTGGCTTTGACAGCAGCTCTGCTAATTACCACTTCCCAACCTTTAATTTCTGGGTAAAAGCAAGAGAAGAAAACGAGTGGTTTTTCATTTTCCAGAGAGAAAGGGCTAATAGTCTTCTTTAATATATGTATACATGTATTGAATTCACTACAAGAGTTATTACTGAGTCCTTACTATTTAGCCATTCAGTTCCTAATTAGCCATGCATTTTGTTTCTTCAGATTTGTCTATTATATTTTATTTGTGGGGTTTCATATATTTGGTTTTTTGGCTGGATCTTATGCTGTGTTTATTCTTGGATTTTTTTGAGAGTTTTTTTTTTTTCCTTTTTCTTTTTTGAGACAGGGTTTCTCTGTGTAAAAGCCCTGACTGTCCAGGAATTCACTTTGTAGACCACACTGGTCTTGAACTCAAGAGATCCGCCTGCCTCTGCCTCCCAAATGCTGGGATTAAAGGTCTGTACCACTGTGCCAGTCTTTTTTTTTTTTTTTTAAAGAGTTTATTTATTATGTATACAACATTCTGCTTCCATGTATATCTGCACAACAGAAGAGAGTACCAAATGACCACTAATCTGGCCATTGCAGCCACATTAGCTAGGCATTGAATTGCCAGGGTCTGCCTCTGACCCCAATAATGGAGTCAGGTCACAAGTATACACTACTTCTGACTTTTTTTTTAAATGGGTGCTAGGGATGGGAACTCAGGTCCTCATGAGTGCAAGTACTTCACCCACTCATCCCTGCCTTATTAATCACGAGCATAGCAATCCATTCTGTCTTACTTAGGGTTTCTATTGCTGTGATGAGACACAGACACCATGACCACTGCAACTCCGAGTGCTGGGATTAAAGGCATGTACCACCACCACCACCCTGCATGGTAACTCTTTTTGTGTGTGTGTTTGTGTGTTTGAGACAGGGTTTCTCTGTGTAGCTTTGGAGCCTGTCCTGGAACTCGCTCTGGAGACCAGGCCTGCCTCTGCCTCCTGAGTGTACCACCACCACCTGGCAATACGGCAACTCTTATAAAGGAAAACGTTTAATTGGGCGGCTCACTTACAGTTTTAGAGGTTCAGTCTATTATCTTCACGGGGAGAAGCACAGCAGTGTGCAGGCAGACGAGGTGCTGGAGGAGTAACTTAGAGTCCTGCACCCTGCAGGCAACAGGAAGTTGACTGAGACACTGGGCGGTAGCCTGAGCACAGGAAACACACAGCTGATGCCAACTAACAGTCTCCTGTCACCTGCTTTAGTGTCCTCTGATGGGACACAGTTAAAGCCCACAGCCTTAAGATCGGTGCAAAGGCTCCAAGTGAACTTAAAACACAAAGAGTTTCTGGAGACTATCTGGCCTTGGTGAGACATCTCCACCAGTACACTGACCCCAGCACAGTGTTCCCGGGCTGCTGTGCAGAGGCGTGATGCAGCTGTCTCTTCCACATTGCTGTACCCAGCTAGTTATTAGGACCAAGCTCAGCTCTGAGGACCACAGAGTCAAGTCAGCAGTCACAGCTGGGGGCTGCTCTCCAGTGTCCATCTGAATCTCTGCATCTCCAGCCAACCTTGGGCCTTTCCCCATATATAATTCTAGATATAGATCTGTAAACTTTGAGTTTAGCATCTAAGCAGTTGAGTCCCAGTCTCACTCCCACTGCAGTGGCCCTTGGCCCATTGTCAGTCTTCTGAAGAGGGAGGAACCCAGGCAGTCTCTGAACTCACAGCAAGCAGGGGGTTGAGACTGCAGCCCTAACCCACCACACCTAGCCTGCCGTGGCCCTTCTTGCTTGTCTGCATACGACTCAGTGAGTAAAGGCAACTGCTCCCAGGCCTAATAACCTTAGTTCAAACCCTGGAACCAATATGGCAGACTGGAGAACAGATGTTTGCGGTTGCCCTGATGCCACATACACACTGTGAGGAAGTTTAGATTCTAGAATCTTCACCCTGGTGTTTCTCTTAATGACTGTGGCTCAACAGTTAAAGCGTGTATAACCAGAAAGGATTTCAGTGCTATGGAGGAGAATTAAAACATGCTAGGTTTGGAAACAGCAATTTGCTCCCAGCTTCCTTGGGGAAGACCAAGATCCTGCTCAGCTAGGGGCTCAGTGGTTGCTTGGTTTTATTGCACAGAAAACAGAACTGTCTCTCATCTAACCGTTATTCACTGGAAATTAAAATGAAAAGCTAAGACAACTGCATATAAAGTATTTCACTGGGCAAAGTCTGTGTTAAGTTTCAACCCCAGGACAAACAGCTGAGGTGCCTACTTAACACATCAAAGCTCCTGGCCCCCCCGATTCTCCCAGAATCCTTCAGTCCCTACCTGTTCCACAGTATGGCTGGGACACCTACCCTCTTCCCTGAACTCTCCAGCCCAGGGGCTGGGCTGCCCTTCCCCAGAGGCTCTTCCCTATGTAATCCAGACATTTTGGTTACCTGCCCCTATTGTACCTTAGGCCTCCTGGCTCCTTCCCATATCCTCTGCATTGCCCACCTCAGCCTGGTCATGTCCACTCTGGAGCCTCCCAGATGTCCCTGGCTCTGGCTCCGCTCTCCCTTTTATCCACAATAAACTTTCTCCTCCACCACACCTAGGAGCCGTCATGTCCGTCCTTCCCTTTTTTTTTTTTTTTTTTCATTCATTATGGATACTGGATTTTGGAGGTATCTGTCTCAGAAGACAAGGCAAGCCAGGCATGGCGGTTCACACCCTGAGTCCCAGCATGCGACAGGCAGAATTAGGTGGCTCAGTGTGAACTGGAGGCCAGACTGGTCTGCACACCAAGTCTCGGGCCAGCCAAGGCTAAACAGTGAGCGACTCCCAGCTCTGAAAGCAAGTGGCATGGGCTGCAGTCCGGTATAATCCTTTTGTTAGAAGATGTCTTTCCTCACAAAGTAAAACAGCCAAGAAAAAGAAATGTAACAAATTAGTATTTCTAATTAAAACTGCTGTAGAGCGAATTTGAATATAACTTTTATAAGCATGTCAGCATGGTGTCAGCTTAATAGCATAACATTAGTTTTAAAATTAATTTTAGCTAAAATATGAGATTAATCACTGTGCTCTTTGAGCAGGGTTTCGAACTTGCTGGTGAGGTTCACAGTGCCAAGGGTCAAAGGCAGGGAGGGCCCTGAGGCTTCGAGGTGAGCACCCTGTTTAGCAGCACAGCCTCAGGCCCAGGGACTTTTAAATTGGACAATTCATATTAAAAATAAACTGGGGAACAGCTGGAAGTGATGGTGTACCCTGTAATATCAGCATTCAGTAGGTGATGACAGGGTGTGAGTTCAAGACCAAGTGGGCAACATGTAAGACCTGATCTCCAAAAGCCAAGAGTAAACAGAAAACGCTGTTTGAACTGCAGCCTGAGCTGGGTGTAACCCTAGGACTGGAGAGGTAGAGGCAGTAGGATCAATTCAAGGTCATTCTTAGATACACTGGGAGTTTGAAGCTAGCCTGAGCTTACATAGACCTTGTCGAAAAAATTATTTGTGTACACACACACACACACACACACACACGCACGCACGCACGCACACACACACATGCACACACAATTGCTAATTTCTGTTTTCAGTTGAGAGAACGGAGATAAGCCCTCACCTCCCAGCACCAGAATGGAGCCCAATCAATGGCCTGCTGGACACACTCTAGAGACCACCACCAAAATTTGTTATTTGGAGGGTTCTCAGTTCCTTTCTTCACCTATTGTTGGTAGGAGCCTTTACAGAAATTTAATAATTCCAAATGGCGTGGGAAGAAAAGCTGAATTAAGAAGAAAGCTCCATGCTGCCTGACATTCTTTATTCAGACTGTGGTTGCATTTCACAGGGTGGCCAAGGTGGGGTTATTTGCAAGAGGAGAAGGTTTTCCAGAAGAAGTTCTTGCAGGGCTTTTTATCTTGGCGCGGGGGCTGCTGGAGAGGTGGGCTTTCCTGCCGCTTAGACACCTTGCTGGCATCTGCTCCAACCAGGGCGCTGGAGCTGGCTTGGGAGGTCCACTCATGCCACCAAGTGAGGAGAGTCAGGAGGCCATTTCCCTTGCCTTTGGAAGCATCCTGTGTTTTCAGAGAAGCAATGACAAAGGAGAGCAAGGAAACCCATGGACTCACTCAGCATTAGGAGATGCTCACCCTCCTCCCTGTCAGAAAGCAAGCTTCTCCTCCACAAACCACATTTCCCTCAAAGGTTGAGTCTGAAAATCCCAGAGAAACTACTCTGCAAAGGGAAACAGACAAGTTAAAAAAAAAAAAAATTGCTAATTTGGCCACGCATTGTAGCACAGGCCTTCCTCAGCACTCATGAGCAAAGGCAGATGGATTATTTTGAGTTTGAGGCCGGCCAGCATTGTAGAGTGAAAGCGTGTCTCAAAATATAGGTAAATGAATTGCTACCTCTATCTTATCATCTTTGCTGAGGTCCTCAGCTATGACACTAGGAAATCTGCCAAGGTGACTGACAGCTCAGACGCCCTGAGCAGACTCATTTAACTTGTTTCCATCTTCAGATACCCTCCTGGATGTTCAGAAAGGCAAACAGACTGAGATGCTAACGGGTGGTACTTCAAACTCCGTGGGCAGTTTCTAGGAGTATTCTGATGATAAATGACCCACCTGAAACTCATCTGGTAATTTCAGAGAAAAATCCATTTCTAATGGTCAACTTATATACTCTTTCTTGGAACTTTTTCAAAATTGAAAAAAAAAGAGAAAATAAATCATTTGATGAAATTATAAATTTATGCTATGGAGAATGGGATGATAGGAATTAATGTGAGTGAGAGCATAGCTGTGTTCATCAATTAAGGCTCTGGGAGTCTGTATGACCAATAATGGCAGGAGCTGGTCCACAAGCACACAGAGACAGCCAGAAGTCTAGCCAAAGCAGGTACCAGCAGAGAGAGGAAGGAGCCCCTGAATAGACACAGGCTAGGGTAGGTGAGAGCAAAGGGAAGACCAGTGGTCTGAACGGGACATTGTAGTATCCTGGGGTTCACACATGAAAACACACCACACACACCCCCCCCACACACACCATACTTAGGGCCACTCACTGAGTGGTCAGAATTCCAAGAATAGAGAGAAACAGCAGCCTAGCCTATGCAAGAGTGGGAACTGTACTCACCACGCTGTCCTGGCCAGTGGGACCACTCCCCAGGGGAATGGTGGAGGCTGCGGTTCCCCAGAGCAGCAGCAGCAGCAGCCCGAAGGCTGACAGCCACTTGTCTCTGGCACTGTAGCCACCCATCCTCTTTGGCAGTCCTCAAGTCAGCACTCTGCGAATGAGGGTCTTCCTTTGGAGCCTTGGTATTTTAAGCTCCAGGGCCAGCTGTTTTGGGGTCTGCACACATCCATTAAAAACTTGCAAGCCTCTCCACACTCATGCCGTGACGCACAAGCTGGAGCAATCAGTTCTCACAAAAACATTTGTGAGGTTGGATTTAGCCCCTTAATTAAAGACTCAGGACTTTTCCTGGGCTGAGAGTGAATCTGCTCTTATTTTAGAACTCCAGCGTACTTGCTGTGAGGAAGTTTTGCTTCCTTGCAATTGTGCCTACAGCAAGCAGGAAGCCATTAGAACAAAGCCAAGCGATTTAACAGAATAGGAAATTAGGCTGGGGTAAAAAGCTTAAAATGTGGGATCCGACCCACATGAAAGCGAGGCTGAGGGCTGGGCTGCAACTCAGCATAGCGCGTGCTTGTCATGTGTGAGGCTCTGGGTTCTGTCCCCAGCACCAAAAACGAAGTATGTCCGAATCTGCTGCTATAAGCAAAAGAAACTTAGTGCAGCGAAGACTCGGGGCAGAGGACAGCAGCAGTGTTTCACCCAGTCACAAGGATGAACCAAGAGCTTGTCCCAGCACTACCTACCCTCTGCCAGGGCCAAACACTGGTTCTTCAGCCAGACAGACCTTCAACTCACTGAAGTATAGATACTGATGCAGAAACATGGGAGAACCAAGGGCCGTCTGCATCCCAGTGACACTGAGCACTGACATCTGCATCCCAGTGACAATGGCCCTAGCATAGTTGGTGGTCTAGGGCTTTCCAAACTCCCCATGTTAGCAAACCGTATGTTATTTTTAAAATTAGGCCAGTGAGATGGTTTAGCAGGTAAGTCTGTCACCAATCCTGATGGCCTGTCAATCCCCTGGGACCAGCATGGTGGGAGAGAGAGCAGATTCTTTCAAATTGTCATGAGTATGCATATCATAGCATACCATAGCACACCATAGCACACGCATGTGCCCACACAGGCCATGAACGTTGGCACACACCTTTAATCGCAGCACTTGAAAATAAACATTTTATTCTAAGATTGGTGGTGCTTATTATTTTGATCCAAAAAAGGAATGGCCAACACTCGGGAGGCAGAGATAGGTGAATCTCTGTGAGTTCAAGGCCAGCCTGGTCTACAGGCCAGCCAGGGCTACACAGTGATCCCTGTCTCAACAACAGAAACAGAATCTCCATGTTTATAGGGTCAGTGAGGTATCTCAATGGGTGAAGCACTTGCTATACAGACCCGATAACCTGAGCGCCATCCCTGGAATCCACATAACGGTGAAAGGCGAGAACACACTCACCTTCACACTCAGGCTGTAGCACACTTGTGCCCCTCCCCCAGACACTTTTTTTTAAATTAAGAGTGCATGAGGATAGAGATGTACCAAGTGTGAGATGCCTTTTTTGCTTAGGTTACCGTTACCATCTCAGAGACCTGTACTTGACCAGCTGAGAGTCCACCCCATCCCCAAGACAGTGACAAAGTGCTGGGCCACCTCTCGGCTCTTCATGGGTCCTAGATTCAGAATTGTGGGGACAAATGCACAAACCCCTCCTAGCCAGACAGACCTGAAAAACCCATCTCAGTCCACTAGAGACCACTACGATCCAAGGAAAGTTCACACCCAAAACAAACTGAAGAAGGTGGCTTCTTCTGAAAGATCATGTCCCTATTCTGGGAGTCCATTTTCTCTTCCATCATGGGACTAAACTCAGGGCACCTTGCTTGGCAAATGCCCTTACACACTGAGCTATCTTGCTGGCCCCAGGAAACCTCTGTACCCCTACCACTCTAAGGGAAGAGCAGGCCCTGATCGCCTAGGCAGCCCATGGGACACCAGCTCACAGCACCACATTTCACACTGTGATGTCCCCCTCAAGCTAACTTCTGTCATGAAAGCTAAGGCTTAGTTACAAAATTGCTAGAGAAGTCACACAAACTGTTTCTGAGAAAGGAAAAACAAAAAACAAAAAACAAAACACCACTAAAGAGTAAGAAATGGAGAGATGGCTCAGTTGTTAAGAGCACTGGTTGCTCTTCCAGAGGTCCTGAGTTCAATTCCCAGCAACCACACGATCTGATGCCCTCTTCTGGCATAAAGGTGTACATGCAGATACAGGGAAAAAAAAAAAAAGAGTTAAGAAATTCATCACCACCCTTCGCTGAAGATCAAGGGGTCACGGATCTGAAAGAACCTTAGTAGCCAGAGCTAAGTAAACAGAACTTTATTCACCATTCAGAGACCGTCATCTGGCCTAGAAAATGAACAGTGAAGGACTATACCTATCCCCAAACACCCAGCATGTCTAACTGCTAACACGGGGCCATCAGCCTCAGCCACTAAGTCACATCACGCCATCCAACAGCAGCCGTTCCCGTGCAGAGGAAAGCATGGGTGGCTTTGCAGGAACTCCCGGCTCTTTTAGCTGTATCAGATGTCTTGAAGCATCTTTCCTTGTCCCTCAGACCGCTTCTGGTGGTGTGTGGTTCTTCATGCTCAAGCTGCCGGTCTCAGGTGGCCAGGACTTAACTGTCACTTCCTACCACATCAGCATCCAGCTCCATGAAGTCCCTGTTCTCATCCTCTGGCTTCCGTTTTTTCTTGGCCTTTCGCTCTAGGTTAAGCTGAGCAATCTCTTCATTTTTCTCGGTGATGTATTTTAGCTATGTAAATACACAAAAAGCAAAACTATATTTAAGTCTTTAAACCTGTCTGTAAACTATTTTATAAACCTAAAAATAACCACAGTGACTTATGCCTTCTCCAATATTCCAGAAGAACTGATTGGAAATTCATTGACTGAGCTGTTTATCAGTACTAAAGCTGTCCTAAAGCTGGAGATGGACACAGTTCAGAGTGAAGACCCTGCCCTGTGGAGAGGATATCATAGGAAGGCCAAGACCCAGAAGGGTCACGATATTAAGCTACAGCCAGGTGACCCTGACACCTCTAAGTGTCAAGTTTCTTCACCTAGAAAATGACAGCTTGATCAAAATGTTTTAGATGTGGGAAAAAAAGAAAGAAATTGTGTTCTCATTTGCATAACCAATCTTGCAGACTTCCATCCATCCCCGGGGCCATCAGAACTGTGGGTATGGCTGGGCCTGGGGGGCACACCTGTAATCCAGGCTACCAGGACGCTGACACAGGAGGAGGGTCTCAAGTTCAAAGCCTACCTAGGCTAAAAGTCAAGTTCAAGACTGGCCTGTATATTCAGCATGACCCTTGCTTTGTCTTAAAACAAGAAATGGGGCTAGAGAGATGGCTCAATGGTCAACGGCACTCGTTACTCTGTCAGAGGACCCACACTGTGGCTCACGACCACCTGCTAACTCCAGTTCCAGCTTATCTGAGACCCTCTTCTGACTTCTAATGGCACCAGGCAAGCAAATGGTAGGTGTGCATGCACATAAGCCTAACGCACATACACAGAAAACAAAATAGTCAACCTGAAAAACAAGAAGCAAAAAAAGAAAGGGGGCGAGACACAGTGCAGCGG